TGCAAATAAGCCATGCATATTTCCTAACACAGAAAGTTCCTTACGGTATGTCTTAGCCATGAACAGGTTACAAGTCTTCCAAATATCCTGAAGAATATGTTCACTCACTGTAAATTTTGTACATTAACTTGATGAGGTCACCAGATGCCCAGATATTTGTTCAAACATGAGGATATTTCTAGGTGAAATTTAATATAGTAGCTGATAAACTGACTAAAACAGGCTGCCTTCCCTAAGATGAGAGAGCTGCATCCAATTAAAGACCTGGATAGAAGAAAAACAAAACCTGAGAACCAGGGAATTTCTGAATAAAGATACCAGTTTTCCTGTCTTCTTACCTGAACTGTTAGTTCTGGAACACACAATACTGTCTCTCCTGGTTGTCAGGCCTTCAATTTCATACCACAACTACAGCTTTCATGGTCTCCAGCTTACTGTGTATTTTGAGCTTCTTAATTTCTAGGACATATTATCTAATATATATTTATTCCTTTTCCCTTTCCCCTCCCCTTATACATACCCTACTGGTTCTATCTGATGTATCTATTCTTTCTATCTATCTATCTATCTATCTATCTATCTATCTATCTATCTATCTGATTCCTTAAATGATACATCTCTATTTCATAAATGACACAGAACATAAAAAGGATATATGGGGTTGGGGATGTGGCTCAGTGGTAGATCCTGCATAGACAAGGTCCTATTTTGAATCTCCAGTATTGCAAAAACAAACAAAATCACAAAGTTTAGTGTACTGCAGCTTCTCAGAGGCACAAGTGGCACTGGCTCCTGAGGATTTTTAGACTTGGTTTTTCTATCTGCACTAAAATGCACATCTCTTTAAAGTATCTTGTATTTAAGGCACCTGTTAAAAATCTCCTCAGTTTATTTTCAATTAGTTTTTCTTTCTTTCGTATGAGGAAACCCTGGTTTTTCTATTACTATAGTTTTGCTACTGGTTAACTCTAAGTTAACATAGAACAAACTTAAAATGCAAGTAATTTAATCTTCCACTTCAGATGACACCTTATGCCTTACCACCATTAAATATTAAGTAAGGTATCAAATACTAGCTACACTTGTATACTTATCGAGCCCTAATTTCAAACTATAAAATGAGTGGCTACTGTAATATTTACCATGCTCTGAAAAGATGATTAGTTCCCTCTGTACAGTTTCTGGACAAATCTAACACAATACTTCTACTTGGTATTAAAGGTCAGAATGCCAAATTTTCTGAGGGGAAAACAGTAAAGAAGAAATACAATTCAACCAAACATTTAGTAAACAAAGACCTGTAAGTCCAAAATCTTAACTCTTACTACTTGTTTTTTTAAAAGATTTACTCATTTATGTATTTATGTATATAGGTACTTTATCTGCATGTACATCTGCACACCAGAAGAGGGCATCAGACAGGTGTGAGCTGCCATGTGGGTGCTGGGAATTGAACTCAGGACCTTTGGAAGAGCAGCCAGTGCTCTTAAGCACTGAGTCATCTTTCTAGCCTTGTTTATTTTTTGAGATAGATTTTACTATGAAGTTTAAGCTGGCCTGGAAAACCCTCTATAGAGTTCAAGCTGGCCTTATCCTCCATCCCCCATCCTCCTGTCTTAGCCTCCAGGATATTGGGATTACTGGAATGAGCCATCACAAACCTTAATTCCTTTACTTTGATGCTTCTATTTTCAGCCACAAATTCAAATGTGCATGTAAAAGTAAAACATGCATAATCTTGGGCAGATGATTTTTATATTCAGTTTGAGAATGCTGACTTTCTAGTGAAACATTATTAATTTAACCTCAAATAACGCAAGTTAAAACGTTTTTCACCACCTCCTTTCCCTTTTAATGATATCTTTAATTTTTTTTAAACAGGAAAGATTTTTTTTAATATACTTACAAGGGGCAGTGGCATGGCAGTAATGAAAGAACTACCAGTCTACACCATTAACTTTTACTTATTTATTTAAAAAAATTAAAGATATTTTATGTGTATGAATGTTTTGCCTGCATTTATTTATGTGCACCATGTACATGCCTGGTACCAGTGGAATTTTCAGAAGAGGGCACTGAGTCCCTGTATGTGGAGTTACAGATGGTTGTGAATCCACCTTGTAAGTTCTGGGAACTGAATCTGCAGCCTCTACAAGAGCAGCAGTACTCTTAACTGCTAAGCCATTTCTCCAGCCCCATCCTTAAATTAAATTTTAAAAATTTATTATTTGTTTAATTTATTTATTTTTATTTTATGTTCATTGATGTTTTGCCTGCATGTATGTCTGTGTGAGGGTGTCAGATCCCCTGGAACCGGAGTTACAGACTGCTGTGAACTGCCTTGTGGTTGCTGAGAATTGAATCCAGGTCCTCTGAAGACCATCTCTTCAATCTTATTTTTTATTTTTAATTTTGTGTGACTTCGTGTGGGTATGTGCACATAAGTGCGAGTGCCAAAGGTGTCAGAGGCGTGGGGTCCCTCTGGAGCTGGAGTTACAGGCAGTTGTGAATCAATCTCCTGACATGGATGCTGGGGGACTGAATTTCTGTACCCAGAAGAACAGCTCTCTCAATTGCTGAGTCATCTTTCCAACCCCTATACCTTTCACTCTTAAAGGTCTCAAATTTCATCTAAATAACCTTTTTCAGTAATACCAGTTGGATAGCTACTAAAAAAAAAAATAACTTCATGGCCTCCCTTGTAGAAGAAAATCTTTGTTATTTACCAATGACCTAAATTCCCAAGTAACATTCCAAGTAATATTTAGTTTTAGAGAAGCTCAGGGTTAAATCAATGCTTATGCTATAAATGCTTTTGTGAAAAGGCTTCTTGGACGTTTAATCACGACTCCTGGCCAGGTATGGTGGCTCCTCCCTGCAAGCCAACATTTAGCAGACTGATGAAGGAAGACTGCTGTAGCTAGGAGACATTTTAGAAAAACATTAACGAATAGAATCCTCTCTCAAAGAGTAAGATAGGACTAATGTATGTTTTCAGCAGAATCTGAAGTCCAGGGAGGAAAGTCCAGGCCAGCTTCCTTCACAGCAGCAGGCCAAGAAAGCAACTGTTTAATCTGTATGCACTTCTGACTCACTCTGCTAGCAGGCTTATCCATTTCCCCACCTCAGCTTTCTTCCCAAACTGTTTTAGTAGTTAGTTCTCCCACTCTACATCTATCTCTAAGATTCTGCATGTCTCATTCCCCATTAATAAAAGTGTGAAGCATGGGTCAAAAGATCTCAGCAAGTTTTCATAAGTATTTTTGCTCTCGCTATGCAGCTTACATTTTATTTTTACAAAACAAAATTCTTTTTCTACATGTTTTCACTTACTATCCCAAACCATAGTTTTCAACAGGCTGTCAAGATGCAAAATCACATGTCATATTCCAGTGAAGCCCATACATGATCTATGTAAATGCATGTATATATACATATATATTCAATTATTAAGTTATGTACAAATAAACTCAACATGTAAGAAATTTCCATTTGAAGTGGTCATAATTTTAAAAATTTATTATCTGATGATGTTAGAAGTTCTAAGGCTACAAACTAAAGATCATCCAATACCACTGTCACCCTATACTTTACTGCAATGAAACTAAATAGGGAAAGGGCTAGGTCAAAGCAAAAGTCTTCATTTTGTATTAAAATCAGTTAATTTGTTGTTAGAATTATAAGGCTCTTTCCTCAGTGATAAATTATTAAATAGTAATACTGCACATTAGCTCATCCAAGTAATAACTGAATTAGCAAACCAACTATTCAGATACTCAAAGCCAATGAGTGAGAAGCTATGAATACCAACTGGTAATATCACATGTATCAAAGCTATCAAAGCAATAAAGTATAATTATTTCAATTAACAGACTTCAGAGATACTTCCAGTTGAAAATGGATTTCTTAGCAAAAGACAACTGAAAAAATAATAGACCACATCAATATTAAAAACAAGCCTAAGGGGCGGGAGAGATGGCTCAGAGGTTAAGAGCACTGCTTGCTCTTCCAAAGGTCCTGAGCAATTCCCAGCAACCACATGGTGGCTCACAACCATCTGTAATGAGATCTGGTGCCCTCCTTTGGCCTGCAGGCAACATGCAGGCGGAACACTGTACACATAATAAATAAATAAATCTTTAAAAAACTAACCAAAAAACAACAACAACAAAAAACCAAGCCTAAGGACAAGATGTCCCACACCAATCACCACTATAAAGAAGTGACTTGTTTTTGTTTTTTTCTCAAGAGAATGCCTCACTACTTGGGCTGAGTAATGGTAAAAACTAGTATAGAGTGCAACTCAGGACTGGGAAACAATAATATCAAGATACAACTAGAGGGGCTATTTTAGATCAAAATAAATATTAATGAATCTTTTCTTACAGAGTATGAATCAGGAAGAATTGCACACAGGTGCTTAGGAGTAAACATTCTCCCTAAGAATAGTCATAAACAAAACAAAAACACATATACACAAAGAAGAAATTATAAATAAATTAATATAACCACAATAATTTAATCCACAGTTACTTCTTCTAGGGCTAAACCTTATTTATTTCATGCCAGATCTTTTTGTGGCTGTTAAATTATGAGGTTTCAAATTCCATTAGCTCTTCCCTGTAATCAAAACTGCACTTTAATTTTTAAGAGACATAGTTAACTGATTTTTTTAACGTCTAAAGTTAAAAAAAAGACTTAACCTTTTCAAAAAATTATTGTAAAGATAAAAACCAAAGGAAAAATGGCTAATATTTAAAATAAACATTATTATAAATAGTTTAAATCGACGAGTTTTTGTTAACTAAGAAATTCACCATGATAGCAATTTTATAATTTTTCAAAAGGTTGTGAGAACTCTAATCTAGAAATCCAGCCAGCAAATATCATATCTCACACAGAAACTCCTTTAGCAGGTACTCAGTTAATTTTTAAAAGCTGTGTTAGGAGTCTCCCTAGCAATTAACATGTTATATAAAACAGAGGAAATGAGTAAATACCTGAACTGAAGTGCCTGAATCCTGCAAATGGCCACCAGCAACTGTTCCTTTGGAAGTTGCTAAAGAGACACTGTGCATCTTAGGGGTTCCCAGAGTATCAATATTTTCATCTGTCCTATGTGACTGCCAGACTTCTTTTCGATGATGGGATTCAGTAGCCTGCTGATCTCCAAAGGCAGCCCAAGAACAACCATCTTTCTGTTCATCCTCAAAAGCATTCCAATCTACAGCTTGAGTAGGACCTGCTGAACTAAAGTCTGCAAAATCATCTGAGTCTTGGAAAGCACTACCGCTGTCTTGAGTATTTGGCACAGAATCAAAATCTCCAAATTCACTGTCTTGACCATTTTCCAGTTTTGAGTCAGGTTCACTGTCTTTTCCAGCAGACTTTCCTGCCAACTGATCTTCCTCTGATAAACTATCAGAGGTCTGTTTTAGGTTGGATTCAGTAAATATCATTTCCTCTTGGCAAGAAACAGCATTTGTATCCTCAAATTCTCCAAAATCATCACCTGGTTCACTAAAATGTAGAAAATGCTCCGAGGACTCTTCAAAAGTGACATCACTCATTGAATCTTGAGTACTAGTAACAAAAGGTGGAGTGGTGCCACTGGCTGTACCAAAGTCACCAAAATCATCCTCATTGGTATCATGGCAAGTCACAAAGTCGTTACCACTGTCACCATTTTTTATGCTTGCAGCCGAATCATCCAAAACATTTTCTTCTGTGGAATCAAGGTTTGGGTTTTTGGAATTAGTAAACTTTCTATTTCCTTCTTTGGAAGAATCAACTTCATTAACATCAGAAGTTTTAATAGAATCCATGCATAGGTCAGCACATTTAGAAGCAAATAAATCATTTTCCTCACTTTTACACTGGTCCCTCCTAATGGCTTCTGAATTTTCAGTTGAGTCTACCAAACTCCACGTCTCAGACTGAATTCTTGAATTTAAAAATTCATTCTTTTGCTGTGTTTGAAGGTCTTGTTTGTCAACACTGAAACCTCTGTCAGTTACTACATGCACTTCTGAAACATAGACCTGATGTTCTCCATCAGTAACGCCTTTATCCTCAAAGCTTCTACCCAAAGACACATCCTTCAAAGAATTCAGTTCATTGACCCTGCTGATTCTGCTGTTTTCCTGAATGGTCAGTGCATCACCATCATTTAAAACTGCACATTCTATTTCTTCTAGTTGTATCCTTTCTGTTTGGGAAAATGCAGCAAAATCTGCAAATTCCTTAGTAAGACTAGCTGTAGAATCTAAACCACATTCAGTGCCACAAGTGCTAAGAGGCTTCAATCCCTTTGAATCAGTCATGTTGTCCAGGTCATCTGTTCCCTGAGGATTTACAGTTTCTAAACCTGCAAACCCATTTGTTAGAATTTCCAGACAAGGAGGCTTTTCACCGTTGCAGCTCTCTAATTGCTTGGTTTGGTGAACAATGTTCGGATCAGTTCTAAAATCACCTGGAGAGAAACTTCTGGGCTGTCCAGTGTTTGGTCCCTGCACCACAACTTTATTTAAATCTCCTGGGCTTTCCATGCCATCGATGGAAGGATCTGAAGTTTTAGATGGAATCATCTCTTTGCTGGTGGTAGAAAGTTCATCAGATTGACTTTTCACAGGAGTACAAAGTTCAGCAGTGATATCCTTATCATTACCATTTTTAATGGACTTAAAGCTCGTAAGGCTATCTACATTTTCTGAATAATTGTGAATTGGCATAAAATGGTTTGAAGGTACAAAGTCTTCTTTAGGACGAGTATAATCTGGTGTATCAAAATCAACAAACCCTACACCAGAAGGGCTGACTTCTGAAAATCCACCAAATTCCCCAAATTCATCCTCATCATCATCCTCTGCTCCATTGTCTAGCGGTGGGGGAGATGAAGAGTACATTCGAATGATGTCTGGCTCCATTGTTCAGCAGCTTTCCAATAATTAATTTATGCCTAAAAAAAAAAAAAGAAAAAAAAGAAAAAGCATTTGTTGTTGTTGAGAAGACAGATTATATATAACAAGGTTTTTCAAGCTGTTTTAAAACAGTACAAAGTTATCTGGGCATGTTAACTTAGGAAGTGCACACAGGTGGATCAAGGTCACCCTCAGAGATACATACATATATATAGCTAGTCAATCTGGTTATTAATCTTGAAATATCAAACAGTAAACCTAACCACCACCACCAAAACAATGAAAACTACTGCTCTGTCCTTCTCTCTGTCTGTCTCTCTGTCTCTGTCTCTCTGTCTCTGTCTCTGTGTGTGTGTGTGTGTGTGTGTGTGTGTGCGCGCGCGCGCGCGAGTGTGTGTGTGTACAGGTGCACGTGTGCCTTTGGGTGCAATTCACATATTGTTGCTCAGACTCCACCCACTTTATTTATTTTTTTTTTTTTTGAGATGGTCTTTCACTGGTCTAGAATGTGCCAAGTAGGCTAGGCTAGCTGGTCAGCCTCAGGAACACCTGTCTCTACCTCCAGCTGACTTTTTTTTTTTTTTTTTTTTTTGCCCTTGGGTTCTATAATAGAACTCAAGTTCTTGTGTTTTGGCAAGCACTATTTTTTGTCTTGGGTGAAATTGCATAGTTATGATCTATTGTTTTTTAGTTTTTAAGGCATTTATTACTGGGAGCATTTGGCAGAACAATGAAATTTTGGGATTTCAGAGAATCTTTTCCTTTTTGGGGCAGGGAGGGGGGTTCAAGTCAGGGTTTCTCTGTGTAGCCCTGGTTGTCCTGAAATTCACTCTGTAGACCAACCAGGTTGGCCTCAAACTCAAGAGATCCTCCTGCCTCTGCCTCCCAAGTACTGGGATTAAAGATGCGTATCACCACCACCTGGCTGTGATTTCAGAGAATCTTTTGAACCTATAAAATTTTCTCTCAGGTACTCTCCTATCTTCTAAAAATTCTTGTTCAAATTTACCGAGAACTCAGTGCTTGCCTAGTAGATAGATTTGTGTGAGTCTCTCTCTCTCTCTCTCTCTCTCTCTCTTACACACACACACACACACACACACACACACACACACACACACACACCCCAGTATGTGTGCACTCAAGTGCATACAAAACATTACTCACACATACAATTATTTTATCTCCAATAATTGTTATTAACTATGTTCTTCATTTTGCTTTTCAATGTATTTCTGGCCGAAGTTGACTTTTGGATAACTTAATTCTGAAGTAGTTCAAGGCTCAGAAGATGTGAGAATTGTAGGGTTCTCATATGTACACTTTACCAAGGTTCCCCCAATGGTAACGCAGTCAACAATCACAGTGCAGATGTTTCTTGACTTATCATGGCTACATTGTCTAACCTTATCATTGAAAAGACCATGAGCAGGACATACATTTAACATGTGCAGACTGCTGAGAATCCAAGTTTTCACTTCTCTAAGCTATCCAGTAATATGAATGCTGGGTCATATGCTATGTTCAACTTCATTTTTAAAAAAAAAAAACCTGAAAAACTACTTTCTCAAATTCACTTTTATAATAACAAATCAATTTGCAATCTTTGACAATGTCAGGCCTAGTGGCCCACAACTGCAATGGAAATATATATATATATATATATACATATATATATATATTTGATATGGGGTAATTAATATATATCTATGTTACATACATACGTATATAGATATGGGTTATCTACACACACAAAAACATCACATCCAGACCCACTTCGGCCACATAGCCAGATCCTGCCTAAAAAAAGATGAGGGAGGGTGGAGAAGGAGAAAGAGAGAATAATGAGTATGAATGAAAACCAAATAGGAAAACTAAAAAGCACACTGGAGAAGCAGAAATGCAGGTTCACAGCCCAGGCTTCAGGGACGGGGAAGGGAATCTAGCAACAGCAAGTATAACTTGTTACTGCAGCTTGCTTTCTCCTCTGCACAGTACTGGGGCTGAGCCTTCACACAAAAGTGAGAGATAGTCCCCCCCCAACCAACAGATGCTCACATACCAACACAGAAAAACATAAGAGTTATGAATAAACAGGGCACTATTTCTACAAAAATTCTAACTCACCAGTAATTAAATTTAAATTTATGAAATACTGTATGAAATAAATGTAATTATGGGAAAATAATTAAAAAGATTAATTTAAAAAATGATCAGTGAACTCACAGAGAATAAAACAGTTCAATAAATTAAGGAACAATTAAAAATAATAAAATAAGTCAGGCAATGGTGGCGCACATCTTTAATCCCAGCACTCGGAGGCAGAAGCAGGTGGATCTTTGTGAGTTCAAGGCCAGCCAGGTCTACAGAGTGAGTTCCAGGACAGCTAGGTGTACACAGAGAAACCTCACTATTTATTACTACTATGAATTATTGTCATAGAGGATCTGAAAGAACATATTAATAAGAGGTCTGAAAGAGAGGCAAAGAGAGTTCTTAGAAGTGAAAGATTTAACATATCAAACAAGTAACTCAGCTGAAAGTCGCACCAGGAAACTGGAGCAAGCACATCAGGGCTTAAGGACAGTGTTGACCAGTTATCACATTCAGAACCATCTATAGAAAATACAAGACCTAACAAAGGCAAGAAACCAACATTATGAATTGGTATAGACAAAGGAACAGAAATGAAAGCAAAAAGCATAGAAAACTTATTCAGGGAAACACTAGCAGAAAATTTCCCAAACCTTACAGAATCTCAAGCAGACATACTCAGAAGAAACCTCTCCAAATCATATTATAGTTAAACTGCTAAAGATACATTACAAGGAAAGAATATTAAAAGCTACAGAAGAGCCGGGGGTTGGGGGGGGTGGCCTTTAATCCCAGCACTTGGGAGGCAGAGGTAGGTGGATCTGTGTGAGTTTGAGGCCAGTCTGGTCTACAGAGCGAGTTCCAGGACAACCAGGGATGTTACACAGAGAAATCCTGTTAAAAAAAAAAAAAAAAAAAAAAAAAAAAAAAAAAAAAAAAAAAAAAAAAAAAAAAGAAAGCTACAGAGAAGTGTTGTCATTTATAAAGGAGGTCCACCAGAATAACAGCAAAATTATCAGCAGAAACTCTAAAGGTTAGAAGGTGTAGAATGCTGTATTTCAAGTCCTGAAACAAGTCCTGTTGACTAAGATTCCTGTATTCAGTAAGGTTATTTTTCAGAATCAAAGGTGAGATAAAGACCTCCCAAGATAAATCTAAACCAAATTCATGGCCTTTAAACCATATACAAAGAGGAGAAGGAGAAATACAATCATGAAAGAAATAATAAGCCTCACCAGAATACTAAAACAAGCTGAGAATTAGAAGAAAAAAATCAAACATGATTGATTCAATAAACCATCAAACCTTTAATATGAATTTAGAGAAAAAGAAATGGGTGTAGACTATTCAAAATAACCAGAAGGAAAACAACAAAATGACAAGACTTAGTAGTATATATCTTTCAGCAATAACTTTGAGTATAAATGGCCTTAATTCTCCAATTAAAAGACAGACTGAAAATGACTTAGAGATCAGAGGCTAGTCAGACATTAAGCCTTACATGATAGAAGTATACAAATCAGAAAAAGATCCATTGTGGTATATGTATCCTAAATTATTTTCATTATGAGATCACCATAAAGGAGAAAATAACTGTGATAGCTGAGGTATTCTGTGGGAGAGCGCTACATACCTGTACCTCTGACCACACCCATTTGGGCGTGGTCACAGGTACGTGGAATAAAGGGCTGAGAAAAGGGGCACATGTTCTCTTTGGGGGTTCCAGTCAGGTCTCAAAAGGCTGCAGAGACTAACCTGGGTTTTTGGTGTAAGTATTCTCCCACAATAAATAACCAACATCATTCCTTTTTAAAATTTTTTAAATTATTTTTAATTACTCATATTTACATATTCATTCCCCCATTCCCTCGCCCTCCCCTCCTCCCATGTTCCCCACATAACCCACCCCAACCCACCCCCTGACTCCTCCCCAGGGATAGTGAGTGAGACCCTCTACCAAGGACCTTCAAAGTCTGTCATATTGTTTGGGGGAGGGTCTAGACCCTCCTTGCTGTATCTGGGCTGCAATAGTATCCCTCCATAGGGAATGGGCTCCCAAATCCATTTGTGCTCTAGGGATAAAGACTGGCTCCGCTGTCAGAGGAGCCATAGACTGTCTTGGGCGCCTAGCTGGCACCCACATTCAGAGGGTCTGGTTTGGTCCAATGCTGTTTCCCCAGCTTTATGACTAGGATCTCCATT